GTGTAGTTAAAATATTTCATATCTGAGCACACCAACATTTTTGTGACCTTACATATAAATACGGTTCATGGTCTTCAGGTCAGGAGTACAGGTTTCTGCAGCAGTGCTTTCAACTGTAGTTTATTACAGCTGATGTCTTGTCTTGTGCCAGGTATTAAACCAGCATGACTCAGCCGACGCTGCATTGCGGTCACATTAAGTAGTGCTATACAATTTAATGACACGTAGTTAGTAATTACATTTAGTAACTGCCTTTTTTCACAGTGTAGTTAAAATATTTCATATCTGAGCACACCAACATTTTTGTGACCTTACATATAAATACGGTTCATGGTCGCTTCAGGTCAGGAGTACAGGTTTCTGCAGCAGTGCTTTCAACTGTAGTTTATTACAGCTGATGTCTTGTCTTGTGCCAGGTATTAAACCAGCATGACTCAGCCGACGCTGCATTGCGGTCACATTAAGAGGTCCTGTGGTGAGCAGGGCAGCGCTAGACTCTCATTAACTTGAGCCGTGATTTCAACTCTGCTGAACCCGCACCGGTCTTACTCTCGCTCGCGCTGTGCGAGCGCAATTAACGGCGAGCTCGGTTCGCTCCAAACTCGACCTGGAACGCATTATTCGATCGTTAAAAAACGAAGTTTATTGTTGGTTCTAATTGTTCCGTGTGAAATAGAGCCAATGGAGAAGGTTTCTCACAGAAGTTGCAGTGAGAAGCTCTTGTTTTCAGCTCGGTCGTCGGCCACTCATTGCAATAAACGCACATCGGGCATTTAACAGTTCCACAGAAATCGATTACAAAGCTTTTGATGATCAAAACCGAGGATGTATTATCTTCTCGGCAGCAGTGCTTGTCCATTTTATACTTTCTCTGTAGGCGTCAAAATATTTAGACTTATAGCTATTCCTCATTTAAATCCCCAACACAACGACAAAATAATATTGGCCTGTATAGGAGAATGTTCAAAGAGATTCACTTTCATTTTGTATTTGAGCCATTTTATGTTAGAATGTCTGAAGTTGTATCTACTAAATGCAGAGAATTTTGAGATATGAAATAGCATAAATGCAAGATTACATAAAATTTTTTTTTTTTTAGTCATAATTCACTCAATTCCCTGCATTAATAATAATAATTTGCCACGAAATGTAAGTCACTGTCGTTTGGTATAAACTTTTTAAAATACATTTAAAATACATACAATTCTAGGCTACTGGATTTATTCTGGTGATTAAATCGTTCTTTCTAATTATCAGTAGCTATTCCTCATTTAAATCCCCAACACAACGACAAAATAATATTGGCCTGTACAGGAGAATGTTCAAAGAGATTCACTTTCATTTTGTATTTGAGCCATTTTATGTTAGAATGTCTGAAGTTGTATCTACTAAATGCAGAGAATTTTGAGATATGAAATAGCATAAATGCAAGATTACATAAAAATTTTTTTTTTTTAGTCATAATTCACTCAATTCCCTGCATTAATAATAATAATTTGCCACGAAATGTAAGTCACTGTCGTTTGGTATAAACTTTTTAAAATACATTTAAAATACATACAATTCTAGGCTACTGGATTTATTCTGGTGATTAAATCGTTCTTTCTAATTATCAGTAGAAATGCAACATCAAGTCACTGCTATAGCATTATTTAGTATAAACGTATTCCATATCTATTAGGCTATAGGCTACAATATTTAAAGTGAGAAATTCAAGCTGCACAGAATAGGAATTTATTTTATTATAATTAGGCCTATGTTTCTAAAAATCATGTGATCCATTTTGCAAAACGAATTTTTAGTTTTAGTTTTGTTCAAATTATGCTTCATTCAAATTCATTAAGAGGTTGATCAGCTTTGAAAATGCTTTAAAGCGCTTCAGAAATGTTTTAAAACACAGCTACTTAGGCTATACTTAATAAACTAACGAAATCTTTGGTATAAACTTTTTAAAATACATTTAAAATACATACAATTCTAGGCTACTGGATTTATTCTGGTGATTAAATCGTTCTTTCTAATTATCAGTAGAAATGCAACATCAAGTCACTGCTATAGCATTATTTTGTATAAACGTATTCCATATCTATTAGGCTATAGGCTACAATATTTAAAGTGAGAAATTCAAGCTGCACAGAATAGGAATTTATTTTATTATAATTAGGCCTATGTTTCTAAAAATCATGTGATCCATTTTGCAAAACGAATTTTTAGTTTTAGTTTTGTTCAAATTATGCTTCATTCAAATTCATTAAGAGGTTGATCAGCTTTGAAAATGCTTTAAAGCGCTTCAGAAATGTTTTAAAACACAGCTACTTAGGCTATACTTAATAAACTAACGAAATCAATGTTGGCCAATAACGGGGGATAAAACAGTCAAATAAATAATAGGCTACGCCTTATTAGTAATTATTAGTTAATAGTCTTATTAGTTATATATTAGCCTTATTAGTTATTATAATATGCCTTATTATTGCTAAATTAATAATCCCCCCCCCCCCCCCCCCCCCCTACAAAAATCTTTTTTTTTTCA